GGGAGAGGGAGAGGGAGGGAGGGGGTGAGGGAGGGAGGGAGGAAGAGTCGTTGGCTTGAATGTGTCTGGAGTTGGTGGGGGGAGAGGCAACGATGATGAATGAGGGAGGGAGAAAGGGAGGCGAGGAACAAGCTAGCAATGCACTGACGCGACAAAGAATAATGCTGAGGATTTATGAAGCGCAGCCTCAGGTATTTCCCTAGAGTACCTCATGCGGAGCATTGCATTGATTTTTCTGTCAGTTTATTACACAGTGCAAACGGCTACCTCCACGCTCTGGAGCCATGTTCGGAAATGAAATTCTACACATCCTTTCCCGCCGTTTTTTCCCTTCCCTCCTCTCGTTCTTTACTCCTCTCTCCTTGCCCTGCCCCCGGTCCTCGCCGAAAATCGACAGTGAAAGCGGACGTCTCTCTCCTCACAGTCCCCCTGTGCCTCTCCCTCCCACCCCGCACATTGCACCTTCCTTCGCCCTCCTCTTCCTCCTCCTTCTCCTCCCTCCCGCCACCCTGTGTGCCGCCACCGACCTCGCCACTGGTTCAGCGATCCTCCCGACAGTGCCTTCCTGCCCACGCCATGGGTGGCTGGCCACGTCATCTGGGACCTTTCAATTGATATTTATGTGTCATTTCCCGGCAGGTACCCTTGTACGTGTCGTTGACACTGAGGATAGGCAGAAAGAATTCCTTCTTTCCTCCACTCCCTCCCTTTTTTCACCTCCTTACGCATGCAGGCGCTCCATAAACATCATCGGGTTCCTCCTTCCTTCCCCATCATCCAACACTTCTGCCGTATGATGATGATGGCACCCTTTCCCTCCATTTCCTCCCCCTCCAACTCCTCCGCCTCCACCTCCGCCTCTCTCCCTCCCTCCCTCCCCTCCTTCCTTCCTTAGGACTGTCACACGGACAGTGGCACCTGCCAACTCGATCATCCGGTGCAGCTGTCGCCGAATTTCGGCGTCCGAAGGCATCAAGGAACAGAGCTCGAAGTAAGTGGAGGCGTAAGTGGAAGGAGCGATGAACATCTGGAGAGGGGAGGGGGGTAGGGTGGCAAAGCAGGAGGGGTAAGGCGAAATTCGTGACGACATACTTCCCATGAAGCTCATCGGGAGGAAGCTACGGTCGGGG